AGCCGGGCTCGCGGGGTGAGGCGCTCTCCCGGCCGGAGAGGGGCGTGGGAAACGGGGTGCGGTCCAGAGGATGGGGGCCCCGCGCCTCTGAAGTGTGTGACTGTGATCTTGAGTGAAAGAGGAATGTCCTGGGTTTCGGAGTCTTAACCTGTAAAATGGGAATGACAGCCCTAAAGCAGCGGTTCCCAGCCCGTGTGCCGCAGCAAGGGTGGGCGGCAGGAATGGTTAAAACGCGCGCACTCGGCGCGCACCCGGGGCACGGACCTCTTTGCCCTCAGATTGTCAAAAAGCCGACAACAGCCAACTCAACGACAGCCGTCCAGTGAGAAAGAATCAAGATTGTACCTTTTTTTTTTATCAGATCGGCAAAAAAATATGTTTTTTAGTGTGCTGCAGAATTTCAGTAAGTAGTGCGTGGGCCGGGAGATGGCAAAGGTTGAAAACCGCTGCTCTAAAGTGATTCTCACACGTGGTCCATCATTGGAGTCTCCTCGGGGAGCCCCAGAAATCTGGGTTTTAAAGGGACCCGGGGCAGATATGGTCAAGCAAGTTAGGGAACCACTGCCCTAGGGTTTGGGGTATTTCATTCCTCCTTGATGCTTTGGGGAGAAACAGACCCCACAAACGTGTGCAGATAGTACAGTGGTCTAACCGCCCGTCCTGAGTCAACGTTTTATGTGTGATGACCCAAGATGGAACTTCAGTTCCTGTTAACTTTTCTTAAAGAAATACATCTCCTACCCGGCCGGTGTGGCAGAGTGATTAGAGCAGTGGTTCTCAACCTCCTGGCCCTTTAAATACAGTTCCTCCTGTGGTGACCCAACCACAAAATTATTTTCGTTGCTACTTCATAACTGTAATGTTGCTACTGTGATGAATCGTCATGTAAATATCTGATATGCAGGATGGTCTTAGGCGACCCCTGTGAAAGGGTCGTTCGACCCCCAAAGGGGTCGCGACCCACAGGTTGAGAACCGCTGGATTAAGGCGTCAGTCTGCACACCAAAGGGTCTGGTCTGGGGTTCAATTCCTGATCAAGGCATGTACCTGGGCTGCAGGGTTGGGGCGTGTGTGGGAGGAACCAAATCATGTGTCTCTCTCCCCTCCCCCCTCCCGCTTCCACTCTGGAAAAAATGTCCTCAGGTGAGGATTACCAAACAAAAGGAGTCTCTCTCTCTTACAATACTTTCCATCAGTATGTGTTTTCTCAAAGAAACTTAGGTGAAAAATGCTGAAACTTTCCATATGTAAACTGAAGTAAAAATGTATAAAAGCAAAATTCAAATGTATAGTATTGGGGCATTTATGTAATATTATAGCAAACAGCAAAAAGGTATTGATAGTGACTGTGTCCCCATGTTACAGAGGAGGAAACTGAGGCATAAGAATGTAAATTTGTCCTAAGAAGTGCTGCTTGCTAGTTAGGAAATGGGGTTGGCACTTCAGGCTCTTGACCACCATCTAAATTTGCATCTTTAGTGTCATTTAAATTTGCAAAATATACATATACATTCTTTAAAAAATCAAGCTACATATTTACTTTTTAAAAATGCAACTATTTGAAGAAAATTTAAGTGAATTATCTTTTAAAATCTCTAGCTGGGGAGTATCCTCAACATGGCACCAAAACCACAAAGCAGACTTTTTTGCATAATCATTATAAATTCTGCACAAAACACCCCGTTAGCAAACCATGGGTCAGGAGTTGCTAATGGGTTGGCCAAAGGATGGGGTCCCCAGTATTCTTAACATGTAAAAGTTTACTTAAAGCAACAAGCAAAAGATGGATAAGCAAACTGAAAATGGTGGGAGGACATGGGAGACCACACACTAAGAATGTAGTATGTAGTAAGAATAGTGATTTCCACACTTACACCTTGCAGGATGAGCTGAATTACTTCTTAACAATGAGTTTTCAATTATTTCACAGACAGAAAAGTTTAAAAAGCTATTTCCACTTTGGAAAAAATAGTCATTGAACAAAAAAGAGTGCCTAGGACTTTTTGTGTGTGTTTTAAAATATATTTTTATTGATTTCAGAGAGGAAGCGAGAGAGAGCGAGAGAAACATCAATGATGAGAGAGGATCATGGATCGGCTGCCTCCTGCAGGCCCCCTATTGGGGATGGAGTCTGCAAACCTGGGCCTGTGCCCTGACCGGGAAACGAACCCGTGACCCCCTGGTTCATAGGTCAGCCCTCAACCACTGAGCCATGCTGGCTGGGCAAGAGTACCTAGTGCCTGTGCCAAGCCTGATGCTGGGCTGAGAGGGTTGCAGTGAGTGTGACAGAAGCCCCCTCCTTGTGAAGCTGGCATCGTCCTGATGGTTAGAAGGACCCCAGGTCATGGAGGCTGGTGTAAGTGTGCGGGGGAACTGAAGTGAGATGAGAGGCCACAGCCAGCGGGGTGTGGGTCTTCAGCAAGACCCTCCACAGTCTGAATTTGCATCTGCCTGTCATGCGTTTGCCCCTCACCGTATTTAACCCTTTCAGAACTCTGTTTGAGGTGCCCCTTGTGTATATCATAGAGTTGGGTTTTGCTGAAATCTGTCTTTACAAGACACTAGAGGCCCGGTGCACGGATTCATGCACTGGTGGGGTCTCTCGGCCTGGCCTGCGGGGATCGGGCCAAAACTGGCTCTCTGACATCCCCCGAGGGGTCCTGAATTGTGAGAGGGCGGTTCTCGGGTGACACATCCCGAAATCGGGCTCCCTCCTCTCTGGTTCCAGGTGCGACCCGCTATTGCCAAGTGACCGCAGCTCGGCAACTCCTGCGTTGAGCGTCTGCCCCCTGGTGGTCGGTGTGCATCATAGCTACTGGCCAATCAGCCTGTCGCTTAGGCAATTTTATATATATATATAGATGCATTTCAGCAGATCCCTGCCTAAAAGAAAGCTGGCCGATCAGCCTGTTGCTTAGGCAATTTTATATATAGATAGATGCATTTCAGCAGATCCCTGCCTAAAAGAAAGGTGTAAGCCAGGGGTGGGGAACTATTTTTCTGCCAAGGGCCATTTGGATATTTATAACATCATTTGCAGGCCATGCAAAATTATCAACTTTAAAACGAGCCTGCTATATGTGGTCAGACATTTAATTAACTCACCCCTGCTGCCTTGGCAGGGCCAGACCAAATGATTTCTCGGGCTGTATAAGGATGTTCCCCACCCTGGCCTGCCTACATCAGAGGAGAATGTTCCCGGCGGAGGACAGCGGGTGCAAGCGCTCCCTGAAGTGTGGCACGTCCCAGAAGCAGTGAGGAGGCCTGAGTGGCTGGGACAGGGAGGAGGTGGTGGACAGACAGTCGGAGAGGAGGGAGATGGGCCTGGCTCCATTGGCCTATGGACCACAGTCAGGATTCCAGTTCATTCTGCCTGCAATGGGGGAGCATTGGAGAGCGTGGAGCAGGGAGAAACATGATGTGTTTTTTGGTTGCCTCACCCCCCCCCCCCTCCAGCTGCCATGCCAGGGACTGATATTGTGGGGCACACGTCCAACAGGTGTGGCGAGTTAGGAAGTCCCAGCAGTGGTCCAGGTGAGAGGTGATGATCGAGGGGCAGTGCTAGGGTGGCGAAAAGTGGTCTGTCCCAGATCCTGGGGCCTGGGGGCTCTTGTTTAAAAGGAGACGTATGGCCCTAACTGGTTTGGCTCAATGGATAGAGCACTGGCCTGCAGACTGAAGGGTCCCAGGTTCGATTCCGGTCAAGGGCATGTACCTTGATTGTGGGCACATCCCCAGTAGGGGGTGTGCAGGAGGCAGCTTAAGTTCTTCCTGACCCATAACACCTCATACGCATTATCCCAAAAAATAAAAGGAGCCGAAACCGGTTTGGCTCAGTGGATAGAGCGTCGGCCTGCGGACTCAAGGGGTCCCCGGTTCGATTCCGGTCAAGGGCATGTACCTGGGTTGCGGGCACATCCCCAGTAAGGAGATGTGCAGGAGGCGGCTGATCGATGTTTCTCTCTCATTGATGTTTCTAGCTCTCTGTCTCTCTCCCTTCCTCTCTGCAGAAAATCAATAAAATATATTAAATAAATAAATAAATAAATAAATAAATAAAAGGAGACGTATGACAAAGAAAAATCATAGGAAGTCCCACATCAGCTGAAACAGGCACCAAACCGCAAAGGGAAGGCAGCTCAAGGCCCCATGGGACGCCCTGGCAACTCCAGGTTTGCCGGGAAGAAGTGGGCTCTGTGGCCCCGTCTGGGTGTCTTACCCGTGAGCATCCTGGCCGCCCCGGCCCAGCCAGGTGCCTGAGAGGACATGTGGGGCTGAAGGGGTGGGGCTTCTAGAGCCCGGTTCCCAGCACCTGGGGGGCCAGCTGTGCCTGGAGGCGCCTCGAAGGTGTGCCCCGTCTTCTCTCCAGACAGAAAGCAGCCTCCAAGTCCTCATGCGCCAGATCGAGGTCTCCCGCGGGGAGGCCATGCCGCCCAGCCGGCTGCCCCCCAGCATGCTGCCCCTCATGTGGCAGCTCTACCCTGGCAGGCGGTACCGCGCCTCCGACTCCAGCTTCTGGCGCATCGTGTACCACATCGAGGCAAGTGTGTGCCCCGCCCGGGACCTCCCTCCTCTCCCGTGGCCCTGCTCCCGGTCCCCATGCCTGGCCTCTGCACCAAGAACCAAAACAAACCAAAAAAAGCGGGGAGGGAATTTACAACTGCAGCTTTTTAAAAGATCAGATTAGAGAGAGGTTAGAACTGAATGGCCAGACTACCTTCTGGGGTCTCTAACTAAAGTCCCCTCGGCCCTAGAGGGCCTCCTGGTGGGCATCCCGGGGTGGAGGTTGGGAGGGAGGGATGCCTGGGACCCCCTTGAGGTGCCTGCCTGCTGCTCTGGGGCGGGCGGCCGGGAGCCGGGGGGTGGAGGAGACCCGGCCGCGTCTCTGATTCCCTTCTCTCTCCATAGATCAATGGCGTCGAGGACATGGTCCTTGAGCAGCTGCCAGACCCATAGTACAAGCCACGCGTGGTGAGCACCTGTGGGGCCTGACACCTGAGTCAGAGCGGCCGGTCAGAAAGGAGGGGCACCCCTCCTGCACCCCAACTCTGCTGCCCTCCGAGGGCCCCCGGGGCTGGGGACCCTTGCTCTCTCCCTTATTCCCTTGGCAGCCCCCTTAGCAACGGGGCACACACCTGCAGAGCGCCTCACAGGTAGTGCCCGGCGCTGTCGCCTGATCATCACAGCTGAGCTGGGGTGTAGAGGCTGCACGGCTGCGTTTGGAGGAGGGACATGGCTTGTCCAGGTCACAGAAACGGGTTCCACACCGAGGTCTGACACCAAGCCGCCTGCCCCCTGTATGATCGGCCCGGGCTCAGACCCCGGCCTCACCTCCGGGGACCAGCCCTGCCCACCAGGCTCCCAGCCAGACTCCCCCCAGCAGCTCCATCCCCACCTGCCCTCCAGCCTGCCCCCCCGCCCCGCATCGCCCCCACCAG